TTCTTACTTTTAAATTATTATATGATCCTAATGTGAACTAAGTCTTGTCCACATAGGAGAGGAACTCATCTATGCTATAAAAGCAATGTTTTAATAGAAATGTTTTCAAAGTAATTTTAAATTTACATAATGCTGGTATCTCTTTAATGTATTGCGGTAGGTGGTTTAGAAGACGAAGACCAAGATTATTGAAATTGTTTTTACACAAGCTTGTATTGCATGGAACAATGTATAAGTCCTCTTTCCTTCTTGTATTATATGAGTGTACATTTGCATTGGTTATGAAGGTATTCGAGTTGGATTTCATGTAAACTAGTGTTTCATATATATAGAGGCATGGTAGAGGTAATACGTGTAGTGATTTGAAATACTGTTTGCAGCTAGTAGTTTTGGTTACCTGCATTATGGCTCTAATGGCTCTCTTTTGTAACTTAAAAATCGACTCTGCGTTTGATGAATGACCCCAAAATATCAATCCATATGATAACAAGGATTGAAAGTATGCATGGTATAGAGTGTGAACAGTCTCGATCCCTAGCACTCTGCTGACTATTCGTAGGGCAAAACATATTTTACATAACTTGTTTGCTAGCTTTTGAGTATGTGTAGACCACTTTAAATTCTTGTCTAGCCATATTCCCAAAAATTTTGTGTATTCCACATTATTGATTTCTTTGCCATAAAATTTTATTGACGGGTATTCTAGGTACATCTTCTGAGTGTGATGGAAGGATATTGCTACCGTTTTCTCTATATTAATAATTAATTAAAATAATAAATATTTAAGAGAGTATCATTGAGTTGGAGACCTGTATCGACATACTATTTCACAGGTGAGCGGGAAATGACACCTCCAAGTTACGTAAACTGATACCCATCCCTATGATTGTGAATGTGAAGGATGTACCATGTGCAAGTACAGTAACTATGGAAATGGGATGTTGTGATTTGATAACACAGACCAGAGGGTCAGTTCAAGTTTGCCTGCGTTGGAGAATGTACTGCATGTTAGGTTTTTGTTTAAATAAGTTATCTGTTGCAAATACTGATAATTGTTATGAAAGAGAGAGAGTGGTAGTAGTGGCACAGAGCATTTAGTTGAAACAATGCGTTGCTTGCAGCAATTTATTGCATGATCATAAATCCGGTTCAAGGGGTTTCTCTGTGTTGGGCAGTTACTGTCTGTATTTGACCTTGTAAGTGTGGTTAGACAATAAGTCAAATGACAAGTGCTTCTGGTAGTATTCGGTAGTCTTTATCATGTGCCACGATAGCTTGCCAAGTAAGCATCACACCAGGGCACTCCTCCCATCCCAGAATTACCATCAGTGATGGCTTCAATTTGTCCATGTCTTGGCCTCAAACCCTAGCAGGAAAAATTTGTAGATTGATGCATATTCTATCTTAGCAATTTTGCCTTCTGTATGTCAGTAGGGACACCCTGTTTTGATGCAAGGTTCCTACACAAGTTATCATACAGATCAGGGCTAGAAAACCAGATGTCTGTGATTACAGTATACCTGATTCAGAAGGGGAGCCATTAGTTGTAAAAGTACTTTTTGGCCATATTAAAAAATAGTATCCTTCCCACTGTAAATTACCATGTTCCACAGTTAACCAGATTTAGATTAACTCAGTTCAGGTGATTTTATACCATATCTTAGCATGTTTTGTGGGGATATGTACCTTCCAAGCTGAATGTCCCTTCCACACCATGGGGAATATGTACGTTATGTATGTATGTAGAATGTTACTTACTGTTGAACTTGTGAGTTGCTTGTAAACTGAGAGAGGTGGGCTGTATTGCTGATGCATGGCGCTGCGAAGAACTGAAGTTCCTGTTGTATACTATCTCGTGGAAAATAAAATTTTGTGGCACCCCACACACACACACATAGCCTCTCCAGTGCAAACACTGCGGCACCCCACACACACACACATAGCCTCTCCAGTGCAAACACTGCGGCACCCCACACACACACACATAGCCTCTCCAGTGCAAACACTGCGGCACCCCACACACACACACATAGCCTCTCCAGTGCAAACACTGCGGCACCCCACACACACACACACATAGCCTCTCCAGTGCAAACACTTTGGAACTTCTCATCATCCTCACTGCAAAGCAGAAACAAAATGCCAGCATTAGTTTTCATCATCTTTCATAAAATAAAATATATCATTACAACTATTTACCACATATATTGGTACTTTCAGCCATTGTCAGGAGCATCTCACCGCGTGTTGAAATTCAACATGCAGCAAGGATCTCCTGACAATGGCTGAAAGTGACCAATATATGTAATAAATAGTTGTATTTCATACAATAAAATAGAACAGCAATAAACATTTTTATATCTAATTTTGACAGATGTAATTAATAAAAACTAAAAAATGTAATTTAATTAAGCTCTACACCATGAAGGCATATGGGGGAGTAAATGTATAAATCCACATTTTCTTGACCTCAGCATTAGTTGGAGGTTAGTGGTCAGCTTCACGCCCATGCCCCCAGGTACCCATTGGATACGAGGCTGGGTGGGCCCCATAGCCAGTCTGGACAATATGGAGGAGAGAAAATTCTTGACCTTACTGGGACTCAAACTCTGGCTCCTTGGTTTCTCAGCCCATAGGCAGTTGCTATATTTACTGCACTAACCCAGCTCACTAATAATACTGTATTTACAATAACTCTTATGAGCTTCAGTCTACTTCCATTAGGTGCAAGAACAAATGTTTTAAACCTTGTACAACTGAATTCAAAGTTTAACTTACCTTCTCCTTGTGGATCCTGCATGCAACCACTGCACTATCTCAGAAGCCCCATGTCACTATCAAATATTGACCAAACACATCCCTTCCTCTACCTCCTCATCTGCAAAGGAAGTTGACAGATTAATGGAACATACTGTACAGCGTTGTTAATTTTAGTGTTTCTCTAGATGTCTGCAGCAGTCATTCAGGCTGAACCCATGACATGTTTGTTAAACACTAGACCAGTACACTAGCCACCTCACAGGTGGGTGGTTGGAGGCAGACCACAGACAGACAAGTCTTGGACCTCACCATAGCTCAAGCAGTTAGTCACTGGCTTCCCACCACGGCAGCCCGGGTTCAATCCCGGGTCTAGTCAAGTGGGTCGTGTGGTGGACAAAGGGGTGCTGTGGCAGATTTTCTCCTAGAACTTCAGTTTCCCCTGCCAATCTTCATTTCACCAAATTCTCCATCATCATAATCACTTGGGGCAGGCTACAATAGGCCAATCAGTGGTCAACATGCCAAGTGGACCCAGTTGGGTTCCACTCCCCACTAAGAGAATTTAAATTTTAATTTTAATGACAAGTCTTCCTGGGGAAAATCAATAGTCAGCATACTGGCCTAGTATTCAAAAGGTGAAACAGTACAAATGTTCCAGAAATGTATATATTGTGACATGTTCCGCAACGGAGGACCCCTACCTCCCCAGCGGCACGTGGTGGTAACATAGCGCTCGCGTTACTATGGTAATAGGCGAGTCATCACCCTGCCACTCTCCCCACGGTGACATAACGCGCAACGCACGGTGACGTGCCGAGCAGAGCCGAAGTGAGCTGAGTCCCAGTGCACTGGTTGCTATGCAACGCGGATAAACAGTGGTTGCGATAGACGACGGTAGCAACAGTGATGCCTACCATGTGGTTGTTTTCTCGTTGCCCTGCTGAGGGTTTATAAGGGAGCTACACAGCCGCCGACGATAGTTCTCAGTTCGCAAGTTATGAGTTACAGACGCATGTGCGAGAATCAGTGATAGTTCGTGATAACCGAGTGTATTTGGAGTGTGTAACTCAGAGAGATTTGTATAGCTCCCGCGTTATTAATACGTGAAGACTCTTGAAGATAGTGTGAAGAGATTTGGTTGTAGGGTTTGTAAAGTGTGAAACCCGCAACTGTGTTATTATTAATTGTAGCCGTTACTTGTAGGTTGTTGAATAAACCAATTAACAATCTCTATGGCGTATTCAGTAACCCAACATGTTACACTAAGAAATATACCTCAGATAGCTGACATGTCTCACATGATATTCCAACAACAATCTCTTAATCTATATATAGTGGATGCACCTACCTCAGACCGCACAGTTCAGTCTAACATATGAGTTCTCAAACCCCCTCACCCCACACTGTCCCCCTCTATCATCTCACTACACTGCAGTCTGTCTCTGATCAGCATACTCCAAGCACCCTAATTTTTTTCTTCATTACTGATTAGGCAAATGCCTATCACATAATTTCTCCTGTTCAGTGTGTCATATCCCAAATCAAGGAATGCCCTGAAAACTACTGTACCAAGGATATTCAAATCTTCCTACCCAGAACAGGGTTCATGACCCGTTCCTGTTGGCAAAGAAGTTTCAAGTCAGAAGAAGTATAGTCAGAAGAATTCTGTCTTCTGGGCTATCATCCGAATTTCCAGGGAACATGTCACCTGAATCTTCAGGGTCAAGGAATAAATGAAACAGTAAGCCAGCATGAAGCAGGTAGGAAGCTTGGCTTTGTTACCTGCCAGTGCTGGTTTCTTGCTTTATATTCTTCAACCCTGAAGATGGAGGTGACATATTTCTGACTTTCGATAGACTACACGGCATTATATCCCAGATGACAGAACTCTTCAAAACCACTGCTGCCAGAAGCTCAAATCCTACACAGTATAGTAAGTACTTTACAATGCAGTAACGTTTTATACAGTGGTTGGTGGATAAGCAGTTCAGATTTCAGTCTATCTCAAGGTAATTTTTTAATTTTTGGATTGCGCATTTGCGTTCTGCTAATCTCATACAAAATTGACATTACAGGACTTTGAGAGAGAAATGATTGAAGAGAAGAAATGTCAGGAAGAAGGCAAACATGGAGCTTGGAATGAAGGTGAGATTGGTGAGTCATTATCAGATTCCTTATGTACAACATAGGACTATTCAGATTAAGAGATATTGACACTTTTAGTATTGGTTTTAATTGTGCGTTTATATTTTAAGTATTTCATAAATGGTGTACCATATTTAATCATATACTGCAGTTTTGTTAGGGGTTTTAATAGAAACACATTAATCGTTAATGTTTAATATTAGAAGCAGTAGGATAGTTGGTTGAGGCAGTATGCTACAAGCTGGAAGGTCGTGGGTTCAAATCCTGATGAGGTCGTTAATTTTTTTCAGTTGACCTAATCCTTCCAGCTGCACATGATGGTCAAGACAGGACGAAGTAAGCAAGCAAGACTGATTAAGGAATTTAATATACGGCATTGCTTTATCTTTTTCAGAGATGATGAAAAGTTTGGGCGTTGCGAGAGCTACAGTGGTCTGATCTCAGACTTCAAAGAAGAGGAGGGCTACAAACCAAATGTTAAACTCGACTACATACATGATGATGATGGACGTGTACTTAATGCAGAGGAGGCTTTCAGGTCAGCACAGGTAATAGCATACCTCTTTTTAAGATAGGTCACACTATCGAGGGTAGCCTGTCAAATGGGAGTACATTCTTTAGAGCAGAAAAAGTTTCGACAGTAATTGCTATTTTAAGAAAAATATTCCAAGGAGGAAGTAGCTTTTCAGTGGAAACAGGCAAGATTATGGGACTACCGTGTGTATCATCCATGTGTGTCATCCTCACGCTAATGTGTGAATCAAATGATGAGTTTATGTGAAACTCTGTATTCTCATCGTGCCACTCACATGTTCTTTTAGTTGTCTACCGTCAGCCATATTAACATGGTGACTGAGTTGGGAGCAACACTAGAGCCACTTAAATTAGGTCCTTAAGAAAAAGGTCCTGGGGTAAGCTGTTATACCCATTCAGAAGTTTCTGAGTTTGATCGCCACTCGCATCTGTGTACAGATTTTTCTGCTCACAGAAGATGCCTTCACATCTACCACAGTTTGAGCTTCAGGAATACAAAGGATACCCCCCCCCTGATGGGTTAGAGCCAATGTTAAATTGTAGGGCCCCTCTGCTGACCAGCACTATCATGATTATCCTCTCATGGGTGGTGAGATTATTGTCTTCCACCTCAGATGCTTTCAGTAGAACATTTTGATATATACGTGTTGTTTTGACTTCCCTTTTCTCCCATTCTGTATGTGACAGTTTGTAACTAGCCAACATATTGTGACATTTGAGTGTGTAAATACTTCGTACTTGATATAGTTTGTTGTGTAGGCATAGAATGTGGCAGAATGGTTCATTTTGCAGATAGTTTGCATGAATTAGGAAGAAACAAACCTTGAAATTATTATTGTCCCATTGTACTTTTATTAAAATATTTTGTGTTAATCATTTCAGTCCCTACAACTTTAATGTTCTGTAGCATGCCCATTTCTGGTTATTGGCTGTATGAAAGTTGCATTGGAAAACGGAATGTTACATATTTTTTACTATTTCACAAAATAACAGATTGAACTATATATGGATCATACCCTTGTTTATGGCTGAAACTTCAGGATGAAAGGATTTTACGTGTTACTTGGAAACATGGCCACATTCTGTAAGATCCTAAAATACAGTGACTTTAATGTTGTCTCTCTTTCTCATTTCAGATACCTGTCTCATGAATTTGATGGAGAAGAACCTGGCAAAAATAAAGTGGAGAAACGAATGAAGAGAACTGAACAGGAGGGTGTGAGTATCAGTCCAGATCTGGTCATGGGCTCTTATTTCTAATACAAGCCGGAAGGTCTTGGGTTCAAGTCCTGATGAAGTCATTGGATTTTTCAATTGACCTAATCCTTCCAGCCACACTGTGGCCCTGAAGTTGACTCAGCCTCTAATGGAAATGAGTACCAGGAATATTCTTGGGGGTAAAGGGCAGCCGGCGCATAGGGCTGACAACCTTACCGCCATCTGTAAGCTGATTGTCTAGAATATGTGGGAACCTCAACATCTCACAACCCTATGGGCCCCCACGGCATGTTACAGGGATACCTTTACTTTACTTTAGTATATTGTAGCACCCTGCTGCACTTCATTTAGTACAAAATTGTTTCACAGTCTCACGTGCAGCATGTCTTTCTGTAAAACTTCATAAAGTTATTCACTACATGTTTTGACCTATAAGGTCATTTATCAGGTGTTTTAAAATTATAAATGAGGAAACTGCTGTGCTTCCATATTGTGGTTGTTGGGCATCACTATGCGGTCCCTTCTATGCGCATGTATATACAAAGTGGCGGGTTGTTATGCTGCGTGTCTCTTGCACTGCATGACACAGCAGGCAGATCAGTCAGCCACTTTGTATATACATGCGCATAGAAGGGACTGCATAGTGATGACCAACAACCACAATATGGAAGCACAGCAGTTT